TAGAGCAGTTTCCTCTACTATGTGTGTCGGGGAAGCTGCTGGTCCATTTGCAGACCCCCCCTTGGCTAGCTAGTGCTTCATGCTGCATATATCCTGTGTGGCCCACTAACGGCCCCCGACTGCCCCCTTCTCCAAGAAATGGGCACTGGGCAACTGACCTCCCAGCCCAGGGGAGAGGCGGCTGTCTGACTGACATCCAAGTGTCCCCCACTTGCCTATAGTGTTTTCACACCCCAGAGCCCCCGCGGGACCAGGCTGAAGGCCACATCTCTGCTCACCCCCTGCCCCTGCTCTGTCCAACTCCCCTCCCCCCTCCCTCCAGGTTTCCTCTGACCCCTCCCTCAAGAAATCAATTTTATAAGAAGCACATCTCAGAATCTGCTCCTAGGGAACCTGACCCAAGACAGTCTGGATTGAAAACAGCCCTTGTTTGCAGATTTGTTTTCACAAAATGTTAGTTTTTTGTGCATCAGTTTCTGTCTTCCAACCTTGAATAAGATGTCATTTGACTAATATCCCCTCTCCCCATCACACACACACACACCCTCTGAGTTACTTCTTTCTTGGTGAAGTAAAAACAAAACAAAACAAAACAAAACAAAAAACCCCTTAATCTTTTCTTTCATCCACTTGGATATTAAGGTAAGACATTCACAGGCTCTGGTTTCCCTGGGTCTCTTTCGAGGTGTCTCTTTGTGTTCTGAGTCTTTCCTTAGAGGCCCTGTCCCTCCCAGCACAGGACAAAAGGAGACCTGGGGGAAGGAGAGATTAATCCTGGCTCTCTCCACCACTCTCTTTGCCCACCTCATTGATGCTGTAGCCACAGTTCTCAATAGAAGGGTCCTGTGATCCCAGCTAAGTCTTTAAATGAGTCATGACTGGTCCAGTCAGAATCTAAGCAAATATAGGCTTCGCTCATCTACTGTCTCCCATATCTGTGTTCACACATCTTTGCTTCTGGTCAAAATACATTTACTTGTAATCGTCAATAGCAAAAATCCAACCTTCACGTCTTCATCAAGACCCAGCATTCTGGTAAGGTCTTTTGGAACCAGAGAGGTTATGTACACGAACTTTGAAAATGATGATGAGAATCCTAGATTTTTGCTCTTTTTACTGACTAACCCTTTTGTGTAGAGCTTGAGGGAAGGCAGGGCAGTCCCTCCCACCAGGAGGCTATGGCTGCTCCTTCCACTGCTGGCGTGGCTGCATCCCCAAGCCAGAAATCCTTTTTTCCGTTTGCTACCGTCTAATTTGCCAGTAAGCCCTTTGCTCTCCATTCTGGTCCCTTATTACCTGGAGGCACATCTCCAGCAGCAAATAAACCAGGGCAGGAAAAACAGGTTCAAGACATTTCTGTAATTCTATTTGTTGATCACTTAAGGAAGCAAAATTATGTTTGAAAAAATTTTAAATTACTTGTAGATTTGATCTTATAGTCAATGCTGTCCAGCAGACATTAAAGTGCAAGCCACTCTGTAATCTTAATCCAGTAGCCTTAATCCAGTAGCCTCATTAAAATAAGTAAAAAGAGGGGCATCTGGGTGGCTCAATCAGTTGAGCATCCAACTCTTGATCTCGGCTCAGGTCATGATTTCAGGGTCATGAGATCGAGCCCCACACGGGCCATGCTGGGTGTGGAGCCTGCTTAAGGTTCTCTCTCCCCCTCTTCCTTTGCCCCCTCCCCCACAAATGTACTTTCTCTAAAAAACAAACAAATAAATAAATAAGTAAAAAGAAAACAGGTGAAATTAATTTCAATGATATATTTTAACCCAATGTATTCAAAACATTACCATTCCAACATGGAATCAACATCAAAAACTGAGATGGTTTACATTCTCATTTTGCATTAAATCTTCCAAATCTAGTGTTTTCCACTTAACACCACATCTCAGTCGGACCAGCCACACACTGGGGGCTCGGTGGCTACCCGTGGCCAGGACGGCTGCAGCTCTTCCCCTTCTAGATGCCTCCCCTTCATGGAGTAAACTGTGAAGCTCTTCAGGAAAAGCACGAGGTGGAAGGCATTATGATTCACCAACTTTAGTAATTTTCAGCCCCTCTGAGTCACTAGAAATGTCACCTTCGAGGAGCAAGAGAGGGAGGAGCTCAGGAGTCTGAGATGCCAGCCATCTTCCTCCTTGCTCACCCTGCGGGTATCCTGGTGCCACGGAACACGCACGCTCAGACTCCCGTGCTGAGGAAGGCACTGGGAGGCAAAGGGGACAGAGAAGGAACTGACAAAATGGAAGACCATGAACTCCAGCACCAGCTGGTCTGGTTCCCTGCTCCACTGCCTCTGGTTATCTGACTTCCCTGAGCCCCATCTGATCATCCATCAAGTGGGGCTCGCTGACTCCTTGGGGATGAGATAGCAGCGATAAGTGCTGAGGGCCTGGCATGGAGGAAAGTGACTACTCGGGGCTTGCTGCTGTCTGAAGATGTGTGACCTTCTGCGGGATTCCCAGCCTCTGCCAAGCCAACCCCCTCGATTGCTGACCCTTCTTGTCCTGAGAGGACACTGTCAACACCCGCCACCCCTGAGCCTTCCACCGGGTCATCTCAGTTCCAGGAAAGTCAGTTGCTTTCCTGCATCTGTCTTCCCAGAGACCTGCAAGAGGCTGGGGGGAGGAGCTGCCTAGGAAACGAGGGTCCCAGGTCCCTCCCCATCAGGGAGAAATGGGAGTTACTGGATAAATAGCCCAGCTTCCTCACCCCTGGAGCAATTCTATGGAGCATTCTACATGGTTCCTCAGAGGGTCCCCAGTGGGGTCGAGCCCCAGCTGTCCACAGTGATAACCCGCCCATTAGCTGGTTCTTATCGGCTGTCTTCCCCTCCCCATCTCCTCTCGTAGCCCCTCATTATGCTTCCTGAGATCACCTCCCAAAAAAGACAGCTTACCCAAACCCACAGGACCCTCTCCAGCCCACTGCTCCCTCAGCATTCTCCTTGCTCCAGCCTAAGGGGCCTGCCTGGCCACACAGAGATCAAACTTTTGCTGATTCACTGGTTGCTAGGGACTAAAAAAGAAGCCTTACTGCCAGACCCAGGAGAGGACACACTACATGATTCCATCTCTACTATGCTCAAAACCAGGCACAGTAATTAATGCTGTTACAAGTCACACAAGTGGTACCTCTTGGAGGGAAGGGGATAGTGACACAGAGAGGAGTGGGGCCTTCTGTGGGCTGGACAAATGTTAGGCCCCTTATCTGTGGGTTTGCTTTCAGTGATTTCAGTTACCCATGGTCAACCACAGTCCAGAAACAGATGATCCTCCTCCTGACCCATCAGCAGAAGGTCAACAGTAGCCTAACACTACGTCATACGCCTTGCTTCATCTCATCGCGTACGCATTTTATCATCTCACATCATCACAAGAAGGGTGAGTATAGTACGACAAGGTACTTCAAGATACAGAGACAACATTCACTTAACATCTATTACAGTAGATCGCTCTAATTGTTCTATTTTATTAGCAGTTATTGTTGTTAATCTCTTACTGTGCCCAATACATAAATTAAACTTTATCATAGGTTATGTACATATAGAATATATAGGGTTTGGTGCAACCTGTGGTTTCAGACATCCACTGAGGTCTTGGAATGGATCCCAGTGAATAAGGGGGACTCCTGTAGTCTGTTTCGAGGTCTCGGTGCTAGTTATCTGGGTGTGTTCACTTTGTAAAAATTCCTCAACTCGTCAAACTATACATTTATGATTTGCGAGCACTTCTCCAGCGTGCTACATTTAAATGAAAAATCCACTTCAGAAAAGGTTTTTTAAAAGGAAAAAAGGAACTTTTGAGTAGGCCAGCCCACTCTCTCAGACGGAGGACCCTCTTCCCAGGCCAGGGAAAGAGCTCCTGGCCAGCACTCTCAGAACCAAACAGTGTGATGAAGGTTATAAAAGAAATCCAAATAGGCAGGATCAGAGAAGGGCCCTGGGTGAGGATGGAAGTGCTGGGATCTCCCTCTGGAGGGAGCAATGGACATCTTCCTATCCCACCAAGATGCCAGGGAACCCTGAACTCTTAAAGGGCTGGAGGATCGGGAGACTATCTACAGTAAATTCTATGAGGCTGTAGGGAGAACAGGTCATGACCAGGACGGGTCTGAATGGTCAGGACAGGATGGGTTTACATGAGATGAAATGGGACAGGATGAGACGGGGTGGGGATCTGAAGGTGGGACCCAGAGTGTAAGGAGCTTACATGAAGTCCATCAACATGAGAAGTCTGGATTTCATCTCATCTAGAGTTGGAGAATTTTCAGAAGGGAAATGTCACCCTCAGAATTGTCCTCAAAAGATCCCTCTTTTGAGGTGTGGAACTGTGGGCCTCAAGGGGAAGTCTAGGGGCCAGATGTTTCTAAATTAAAACTAATGAGGCCTTAACCGATCAGAAGGGCTGGGAGAGAGGCCAATGGGCACCCCCAGGATTCTCTGTGAACTGAGCTGGTAAGGACCCAGGTCCACGCTTCATCAGTCAGGAAACTGAGGAAGGACCAAGGGGAGGAAGACACTTGGCAGCCTCACACAGGAGATGAACATCTCCTTTTCTTCCTGAGCTCTCAGGAGCTCCATCTGAGACAGGCTTACATCCCCACAAAGGAGCAAAGGACACCACCTGTGAGACCACAAGAATCCATTCTAACAGTCAGCCCAGTGACAGCTGAACTCTGCCCCTGGGGAGTCTTGTGTTGGCGGTCACAACTCCGAAAACACTTCCAGCCCGTGACCCATCTTGAGGGGCCCTAGAACTTGGGCCATTACCACACCAGACAGAGGCGAAAACAGCGTCTGAAAAGAGGCTTTGCCGGGCTCAAGGTGACTCAGCTGCCAGTGGCACAGCCGGGAGCTGAGCCCAGATGCCCCAACCTGCCCATCTTTCCAGAAATGCCACCCTGCTCCACGCTCCCGATGTGGTCTTCTGGTGGCCGAGGAGCAGGAGCTCCGCCAACAAAAGCAACCTCGAGGGGCACACCCCCCTCCTCACCTGTGTGTGTACGGACGTGCCTCTTCAGGTCAAAGGTGTCATTGAAGCCCTTGCCACAGAAGGTGCACAGGTGCCTCTTCACCTGGTTGTGGCACTTGAGGTGCCGGTTGAGCATGCGCTGCAGCCGGAAGGCCTTGCCGCACAGCTCGCAGCTGTGGGCCGCGGGGTCGCTGCATGTGCCTGTGGTGAACTGGGGAGAGAGAGAAGGAGGGGGTGAGGGCTCCAGTGCAGATGGGCACATGAGCTCAGCCCAGGGGTGCACCTTCCCCATGTTTCGCCTGGCTGGGGCTCCTGACCCCTAACCCTAAAACTTCCAAAGGGGATTGGGAAAGAAAGAACCAGAAGCCCTGTCCCACATTCATTCACCCCGCCTGCCTCAGAACAGACTTGTGATTTCTGGGCACAATGGCTCCCCCGAACATCTACACTTGCGGGCCTGGCGCAAGTCACTGGAGGCTGGATGAGGGGACTGATGGTGGGTACTCCTGCGGTGGGAGAAGGTGGTGCCCTCCTCCTCCTTTGCTCCTTCCTGCTGGCCGGAGCTCCATCAGCCACTCTGGACCATCGAGGGGGAAGCCTGTGCTGAGGATGGAAGGGCAGAAAGAAAGGAGTCCAGGGGCGCCTGGGTGGCTCAGTCGTTAAGTGTCTGCCTTCAGCTCAGATCATGATCCCAGGGTACTGGGTTCAAGCCCTGCTACAGGATCCCTGCTCAGAGGGAAGCCTGCTTCTCCCTCTCTCACTGACCCTGCTTGTGTTCCCTCTTTGGCTGTGTCTCTCTGTCAAATAAATAAATAAAATCTTTTAAAAAACATTAAAAGGGAGTCCAGGTCCTGATGAGGCATGGAGCCTGTTGTACAGAGTCCCCCAAGACAGACACGGTCAATTCCTTCTTCCCTGTGCCTGCTGCTCCCTCCATCAGCAGATGGAGACTCTTTCCTTTCCCCCGGGAGCTGGGCAGGGCCTAGGTAATTTCTAGGTCTTAAGACACTCTGCAGCTGGGGGCACCTGGGTGGCTCAGTCAGTTGAGCGTCTGACTCTTATTTTGGCTCTGGTCATGATCTAAGGTTGTGACATCGAGACCCACTCATTGGGGCTCCATGCTGAGCGAGCATGGAGCCTCCTTGGGATTCTACCCCTCTCTCTCTGACCCTGGCCACTCCCCACCACTGTGGGCCCTCTCTCTCTCTTAAAAAAAAAAGAGAGAGAGACTATGCAGCTTCCACATGTTCCCTCTTAGAAGCCAGCTGCCTTGTAAGACTATTATGCTGCAAGGAAGCTCAAGCATCCATGGGGAGGACAAGACCACTGGCAGAGCCACTGAGATGCCAGATAAAGCCTCACTGGGCCTCCCAGCCCAGTCCATGTCTGTCATCAGCTAAGGGACTCTGGCCAATGCCACCCAGGGTAGAGCTGCCTTGCCGGGCCACACCCCAGCCACACCCAAACCTGACCCACAAAAGTAGGAACACCTAACATGATCACTTTGGGAAGTGACTTGGTCAGGACCCCACAGCTTCATTCTCACAAAATAAACAAAAAACCCAGGCCCTGGGCTTCTAGTCCCACATGCCCTCAACGATGCTGGCCACTTCAAAGGCAGAAACTTGAATCTATAATTAAGTGGTGAAAAACACCAGAGCCAATATATTCATCAAAGGTTTCCTAGTTACCAAATCAAATCCTTTAGAAGCTTGAGCCAACTGCTCCACTATTTACAAAGGGGGCTCATAACCTGATTTTCATACAAACATCATTAACAGGAAGAGTCGGTCCTTGCTGGCTCAACACCTCCACAACCTCCAACACCCTTCAGCTTCCCTCCACCCTTGGTATCACCCTCCTCGAAGACCCAGCTCAGCTACTCCCCCCTCCTCGATGCAGCTTCTCCAATTACTGCAGCTTCTGCCCCAGCAGTTTTCTGTGCCAGTGAGACCAGGGCCATCAAACCCCAGTGTGCACACAAATCCCCTGAGGCTCTTGTCAAAACTTAGGTTCTGATTCAGCAGGTGTGGCAGAGTCTAGACTCTCCCGGGAGATGCCACTGTGGCATAGACTGTACTGGGGACATGAGGCTAGGGTACGGCCCTCCCACAGTTCAGCACTTTATCCCACTCGTTCCAGAGGGTTCTGAACTGCACAGATGTTTCCTCAGCGTTCATCTCGTCTCCTCAAGTAAAGGCCTTTGCAGAAGTCAGCAAGGGTTTGTGCGGCTTGCTGCCCCCCCCCACCCCCCAAGCTCTGACTCGGGCCGGGGCACAGGGGGTTGATGGGCAGTGGCTCACAAGTGGCAAAATACAAAGGGACTTGGGGAAGGCACAAGACCCCAGAACACAGTTTTTCGGTCGGCCTCCTCGTCTGCATGGGGCTTCATTTGTCTCAGCGAACTTATGGAGTGCCAGGTCTGCAGCAGGCCCTGTGGTCAGAGCTGGAGGCAGCACAGTCACCAGGATAGCTTGTCCCCAAGAAGCTGCCAGTCTAGTGGAGAAGCAGACCCATCAGAAGGCCACTGATATTGGGGAAGCTCCAGGCGCAAAAGACACCTCGGAGAGGCACCTACGCCAGGAGTAGTGAGCTCACTCCTCAGCCAGGCAAAGATGAGTAGGAAAAGAAGGGCAACAGCAAAGAATATTCCAGAAGAGGGCACTAGGCAACAGGGAGACTGCGTGTGGTTCTGCATGACGAGCCTGAACCCAAGAGAGCAGTTAAGGAAAGAGAGCTGGGGTAGCAGGGAAGGAGAAACTCAGCTCTATTCAAAAGGCAGAGGGGCCACTGGAGGGCACATAGGAGGATGGCCTCAGGGGTCGGGTTGTTGACCCAATGGGTAGCCCCCTGGGGCCTCCCAGCTGCTCACAGCCTAGCTCTGCCCTGTATCCCCCAAAAGGGTAGGGCCTGGCCCTCATCCTGAGGGAGACCCAGGTGAGCCCAAGACTTTATTTCTGTCACTAGGATGGGACAGGTCTTCTCCTTGCCGGGAAGTCCCCATTCTGGGCATTGCAGCCCTTGAAGGGATGTGAAAGACTAAATATGACCCAGAGTGCCTGGGTGGTCCTGGGATCAAGTCCTGAGTCCAGCTCCCCGCTCAGCAGGGAAGCTGCTTCTCCCTCTCCCTCTGCTTCTCCCCACTGTTGGTGCTCTCTCCCTCATATAGATAAATAAAATCTAAAACAAAAACAAAAAAAAAAAAACAAAACAAAACAAAACAAAAAAAACAAGACAAATATGACCCAAGTCTTGGCAAACTGAGTATCTTGAGCTTCTGAAGGCCGAGTCTACACAGGAGAAAGGTCACTGAGAGCTGGTGACAGAACACAGACAACTGACCCAGGCAGTTTGATTAAGAACGTGCAGAAAGCTAGAACTGTTCCTGCAGAATGTTCTTAAGGCCTTGCCAACTTACAGTCCAAACCCGAACTCCTGTTTACTTTAAGCCTTTTGGTAAATTCCTATTTTTAAAATGCTCTGCATGTAATATGGATACCTTCTATTAGAGTCCAGGATGAAAACCTTAAATCCCTGGCATTATTTTGCTTGAACAGAATAAAATCTTGAAGGATAGAGAGAAAAGAGGTTAGTGACAGTTTAAGGGAGTGCAGGCCCAGTGGATCATCTGACCAAGATACAGAAAGCCTTTTAACACAGGGGAGAACTTGAGAATGGGGGAGGAGACTGGGCACTAAGCTCTCCCCTCCCCCACCACCTGCAGTCCCAGGAAGAGTTTTCCTCTGGTTTTCAAAACCAGAAAAACAAAAACAAAAATAGAAATTCTTCAGGTGTGCCTCCACAAAGGCAAATTTTCCATTTCTCTATCTTCCTATACATCCCCCATTCCACAGGATGGCAAACTGAGCCTGCACCAAGGGGCTCATTTAGGGAATCCATGAAGCACTGTTTGCCACCTCTCTATGACCAATCCAGCATCCGGACATTAACGAATTGTATCTGAAGCCTTAAAGGGGCCTTGGTGAAAGATGTGTAGTTAATTAAATGGCAAAAGACCATGGCTGATGAAGCCAGCTTCTGCCAGACTATTTCAATTCTCAGAAAGGAAGGACTATTTGTAGGATAAATTCCTAAATGAGAAATTTATCCCAGAGTGTATTTCACATGTCAGGTGCCCTGAAATTCTGTCTGTAATGGCAAAAGACCAGGAACTACCTATACGTCCATCCATAAAGGCTTTGAAAAGACAGTAGAACCATGTAACTAAAGCAGCTAGAAAAAGGAAACAGTGTCAGCCGTCAGATACCTGATCCAGCCCAGTCAAGCCTCCAGAAGATTCCAGTTGGCCACCATCTGATCATAACCATGAGAGAAACCTCAGGCAAGAATGGCCCAACTAAGCCCAGTCATTCTGCAGAACTAGAATACAAAATAATAAGTTAGGCTGCTAGGGGTGCCTGGGTGGCTCAGTCTGTTGGGCGTCTGCCTTTGGCTCAGGTCATGATCCCAGGGTCCTGGGATTGAGCCCAGCTTCAGGCTCCCTGCTCAGCTGGAATCCTGCTTCTCCCTCTTCCTCTGTCTCTCCCTCCGACCCTGTGCTCAGGTGTGTGCGCTCTTTCTCTCTTTCTCAAATAAATAAAGTCTTTGGAAAAAATACACTTAGGCTGCTAAATGTGGGGTTATTCGTGAAAGCGCAATAGGGAACTGTAATAGTAAGAAATGGGTCACATTCTCTCCAGAGTACCAGATCTGCCACATTTCCTAATGTTCTCCCCCAGGATCGGCTGCAGGATACAGACAACATATCCGATTCCCGGAATGACATCCCAGGGGCCTGAGTACCAGCAATCCCTCCCCAGGTCACTGGGCCATCTTTACAATGTTTACAGAGTTTTACACCTAACACCCGACCTCCTAAAGGTTCAAAATAAGGTTAACCAAATCTGACCTCATTACCCTACTTTGCAAGTAGTAGACCCAAACTAGTTATGTCTTGGCCATCTTGGTTACAGAATGAGAGGGGAACAAACAGACAAGGAGTGCTAGGGATCAAATAAAAATCTACTCCTGCCATCACCCACTTGTGGGATGTCATTTAATATCCCTGAGCCACAACTTCCCTTGTGTAAGGATGATAAAATGGCAGGGTGCCTGGTGGGCTTGGTCGGTGGAGCATGTGACTCTCGATATCTCAGGGTTGTGTGTTCGAGCCTCACGTTGGGTGTAGAGATGACTTAAAAAAAAAAAAAA